AAAGTAAAGTGAAAGTCTAAAACTTATCATTCATATTATGACTGCAGACCCTTACTTAAGCCAGTACACATGACTGACTTATGTGACAACATGTTCAAACTGCAGCATGTCCTCTACTTTCATGCAGTGACTTGATGAAGTTGAGGTTAGTCATTGGTGGCTGCTCCTCTTTTTTGGACTTTATATTCCAAGAGCACAGGTATTGCAACATTTGAGTTATTATAGGCCTATCTGCTGGAAGCAAAACTGAGGAGGAAGTGGTCAACGTCATCTCAGTTCATACCAGGACTGGTCAGAAGACTTTATTTATCATTATAAGACGAAAAGCAGTGCATAAATCTTGGGGATGGGGGCAGGCAGGATTTTCCTCAGCTGCAAAAAGGCTGGCTTTCAGCACAGTCCTGATTCAGCATGTTGTTGAGTAAATACTAAACATAACCCTTAACAGTTTCCTATACCAGAATCAAAAGGGCTTGAATTATTTTTATCCATCTTTTAGAGCAAGGTAGAGTTTCTGAAGAGGGTTTTTTGTTTTGTTGTTGTTTTTTTCTTTTTATGAGGGTGCGGTGGCAGAACGGTTAGTGCGCTCGTCTCCGAAGTGGAAAGTCCGGGTTCGAACACGGATTTTTCACCCCCTCCTGCCCACCAAGCAGTAATGGGTACCTGACTTCGAGTTGGGAAAGTAAAGGCGGCGTGGAAAGGAACTGGCCACCCAACCACAATTATTATGCCGAAGGCCCAGGAAGTTGTCTCACTAACAAAGCAATCCCCATGTGTACCACTTTGATATATTTTGATTTCCCAATGAAATTTAATTGTTTGTTTTGTTTTGTTTTGTGTATAAGCTGTTGTTTAAGTCTTGTATGATACATGTACATTATTAACAAGCACAATGTGATGCAGAGGTTTTATTCCTACTATTCTTTATGTACAAATACTATTAATAAAATAGTTTCTAGATAACAAAACCAAGATTGTTTAAAACATTTTATCTGAGAAAATGATGTTTGGGATTGAGAAGTTTTCTTTTCGTGACAGAGCATGAGCCTTTCATTTGCACAATAATAGCCCTTTTTCTTGGGGTGATTTGTTTCTTTCTAGAGTACATGGAGTTTTAGGCACATTGAATAACATGAGCAAGACTGTATTGCCACGTTTCAGTTGATTTGTCTTAGCACTAGTACACTGAGAGTCCTCAAAGTGCTTAGACTCTTTCTGGTGACTTGCTGAGCAGATCCTGTCTTCAGCGACCTCTGGTACCTCACCGTATTGTTAGAAGAAAAAAAAATGAAAAGTCTGTTCTATTGTATCTTCTGTTTGGAAACGTTCATTGCAGAGCATCACTGGCTGTTCTGTCGTCTGCTAACTGGAAGATATACTACTACCGTTTCGTATTCTCTTAGATCTAGTCTACATTATGTCATTGAACACGTTCATCCCACTACCGCTTTCCGTTCATGAAAATCTTAATTCCAACTCACTATATTCAAAAAGTAAACAAAAACAAGTCAAAATAATTTCTAAACAGTTTACATTGAAAAATTTAAGTCAAAGCAAAACAGCCACTAACATATGAAAATCACAGTACTACAGTACTGAGATGAACAGTGGCGCTCATATGACCTTATGCAGTTGCGAGCGCCGTAAAACCCTCTACTATAAGAAAAAAAATGAGATGAACAGTGCGCTCTTTCCTCCCGTCGTTTGTTTACGCTTTATCGCTGCTACCATGGGGAGCCAGTTAGACCGGAAATCGGGCCTATTGTCCCGTCCTGGTATTCTTCAGTCTTGGATTCAGCCATCGAGGTCTAGTTATGCTAAATATAGATACGATTGATTCCACCATTGGTCTAGTTATTCTAAATTTAATCCCTATAGTTAGTGAACCCGAACGGAATTCTTTCAAGTGAGCCATTTGGGTCAAGAACAGCTATCAATAACCTGAAAGTGTAAGTACACAGGTGGAACAGTATGTGAGAATGGAGACTGTGTTGGCGCCAGTGTGTTTGTATGTTTGTGAGCGTATTTGTGTTTGTGTGCGTGTGTGTGTGTGCGTGTGGGAGGGGGTGTGGTGGAGGGGGGAGGATAACGCGTGTATCTCTCTCTCTCTCTCTCTCTCTCTCTCTCTCTCTCTCTCTCTCTCTCTCTCTCTCTCTCTCTCTCTCTCTCTCTCTCTCT